CCTAAAGTGCCAGTATATTCTTGATGGATCGGTGCTTGTGCAATAATTGTGGTAGAATTGCGCACTCACCGGACGCGCAATATAAATGCGCATATAAGTATTAATCCAAATGTCATCAAGATATCAGAGAAGGGTAAACAGTGTAGTAGCTTCCCTCTGAGGATGGGATGGTGCATCAAAATGGATCTTGGGGCTTTAAATGGAGATCCAAAAGACAGCCAGAGTTCCCCTTAAGGGCTGGATAGGTGCTGCTCTTAGCTTGTGCAGGAGGCTCCCTCTCTGGTTACTGGGAATGGATCTGGTGTGGGGCTTCTGAAATTCAATACTCCCTCAGGGAGTTCAAAAAACAGAGATATGCCCATAGTGTAGTATTTATAGCATAAATATTTATTAGGGGATAAAACGATGCATCAAAAAGGTAGTAGCGTTAAGATCAAAATTGCCAGGACTAACCGTCCACATATAAAGATGGCCGCCGGAGCTCCACGATGCTCTGGTGGCGTGACGTCACGGCGTAATTGGAGGAGCCAATTACGCTGTGACGTCACGCCACCGGAGCATCATGGAGCTCCGGCGGCCATCTTTATATGTGGACGGTTAGTCCTGGCAATTTTGATCTTATTGCTACTACATTTTGATGCATCGTTTTATATAAAAAAAAAAACACTACACTATGGGCATATATCTCTGTTTTTGAACTCCCTGAGGGAGTATTGAATTTCAGAAGCCCCACACCAGATCCATTCCCAGTAACCAGAGTGAGCCTCCTGCACAAGCTAAGAGCAGCACCTATCCAGCCCTTAAGGGGAACTCTGGCTGTCTTTTGGATCTCCATTTAAAGCCCCAGGATTCCATTTGATGCACCATCCCATCCTCCAGGGGGAAGCTACTGCATATCTACCCTACTCTGATGATATCTTGATGACATCTGGATTAATACTTATATGCGCATTTATATTGTGCATCCGGTGAGTGCGCAATTCTACCACAATTATTGCACTAGCAACGATCCATCAAGAATATACTGGCACTTTAGGAGCATTGAAAGTCACCTTTTGAACTATGATACATGCTTATATATGTTTTTATAAGTTTATTAGTTTATGGACTTTTATTCATTTTATTAATGATTTTAGCGCTGCACCATATTTTTACTGTTTGAGGTTTATTTTGGTTACCTGTCGTGCACAACTGCTGTTCTTTTCCCCCCTATTATAGTGCGCTGACATACTTTTCTATTTTATAATAGATCCTAGTTTTTTAGAAGATTTCATAGATCTAAGAGGTGAACAATCTCTGATGAACAGAATAAATAGGATACACTGGATAATGAGACAATATTTATGCTGATTGTAAGCTCATTCAGTGCAAATAAACTTTTTGGAGAAATATTTACAATGCAAGGGATCATTGAATACACTGCAAACCTAATAACAGTATCTGCTGATGTAGATACAAGCAATTGAAAACAGCCAATGACAGGAAATTGTAGGATTGAACAACATGACTGCAAAATATCCATGTCAATTGCTCACTTATGATAAATGTAAATATGTAACAATGTAGAATTAGTAAAATAATACATCACTGTAGCCTTGCAATGTAACAGACTTGTAAGATGAGCCCCAAATTGAAAATGTTCTGGCATATTTATAAAAGTTCCCTTTAGGCTCTACAAAAGGTTGCACTTAGATGAGTGATTTAAAAGAAAAGTGCGTAAATAGAAAAAAATAGAAACATACATTCCTACCTACATCTGCTAGAGCATTGGTCCAGTGCTGCAAGCTGTCCCCCCGCTGGCTCTATGCCCAAGAACTGAGCAATCACATGATCACTCAGTTCTTGGCCTTAGAGCCCTAGGTCCACTCTGAGGAGAGAGCAGTGACTGACAGTCACAGCTCTGTGCTCTGCCCCTCCATTGCTCATTGGAGCGCCGAGCGGAAGCGGCTGGCTCAGACTCTCAGGGGTGCGCTGAGAGGCTGAGCCAACTGCCTAGAAGACATCTGAGTGCATCCTCACATTATTGTTAGGATCCTTCAGAGTCTCAAATGGCTTTGTGACATCAGCCAGAGGGCTTTAGCCCATTGTTAGCTGATTCTGGGTCACAGGAATGCACTTACACATGGGAAGTACGTAAAAAATAAACACAACTTTGGCCATACTTCTTTTAAAATACTGTGATTTTCTCAGTAGAACACCATCTTGTGTCCTTTGCCCCTCTGAACTGGATTCACTCAGCATGGATATAATGGAACAGTTTAGGCTGGAAAGGAGAGACTGTACTACAGGCAGAATTGGCAGGAAAGGGTTAAGGAGCTAGGAGCATTGGTGGGATTTAGGCTGCTATAAAAGACTAGCTTCTTTACGGCACGGAGGCTGCTTCCTTTATTTCTGCCTCCTTAGAGCAATAGGATTATCTTATGCGAAAATGACAAAAGGCATGCTGAGAATTGTAGTGAAGCAGAATCAGTAGACCAGTCTGCTATGTGCCATTGAATGTCCATGAAAGAAAAAAAGATTTGCTTTGCTAGTCATTGCAGCAAAAAGTAATTCTCTTGAATGTCTTCCCTAATGGCTTGTGCTATGTTCTGATAAGTACCAAGGAAGGGAAAACATGCAGTCAGATTGAATGACACTTTACTGTGGCTTCATACTCCCCATGTCTCCTGATATAGCTATAATTGGCCTGTTGCCCGTGTATCTGGAAATAACTGTAATTGGCCCTAAGAGTATTAAAATAATGCCACAGAAATGGAAGTAGCCTGGGATCTAAATGTGTATAATCTCTAACATCCTGCACCCTTTAATTAAAGGCATGATATGCATCTTTTAATTGGTGCAGTGGAGAGAACTGACCTCTTGAACTAATAATAAAAGTGCAGTTAGAGAAAAGTTCAGCAGATGGCGCCACCGCACCACACTTGCATTCCTGTTGTATACTGGCAAGATTGTGTTCATTAATTTAGAAAATAAAGAGAAGAACTAAACAAGACCTTATCAATTACATAATGTATCATAGTCAATTTTCTAATCATTGGCAACTCGCTCTGCTTGTGCCAAAGGGGCTCTTACCTGTGTCAGCAATTTCACAAGGCAGAATCATTTACATACATTATGTTAATGGTGCTCATACCTGCCCTGTGATGGCCCATTTTGCCAGGAAGTGCAGCATCCTCACTGATTCCTCATGTGTTCCCCCAGGGCCACTTACTGGCTGCACTTTACATCGATCACTGTCAGCGTTTAACTCTATCACCACTGAAACCACTAAGTGAGCCATTTTCTGGCTGCTGAATGGCAGATAAAAGCCGCCCAACTCTGTTCTTCATGGGTTATCAATCATAGGGAAAAAGGTTTGTTGTTTACTTGGTGGAGAAAATTACAAATACAGGCATTTATTTGATATATATGAATCCAGTTAAAAGATGTATATGTTTAAATATATGAAAAATATTAAGAGCACATTTTAAAAAAGGTAGAGAAGAGAGGGAATAAGGGTAGGGAGAGGAAAGAACAAGGAGAAGGGGGGGGGAGAGAGAGAGAAAAAGAAGGGACGAGAAGGAAGGGGAAGAAAAAAAAGGGGAAGAGAAAGAAAATAGGAGAGAAAAACGAGCAAGCAAAAGAAAGAAAAAAAAAGTGAATGACAGAGAAAAAGGAGTGAAAGAGTAAAAAAAAAAAAAAAAGTGTAAAAGGGTGAGAAAGTAGAAGATGAGAGAAAGAAAAAAGGTGAGAGGGGAGGAAGGGACAGAAGAGAAAGAGAAAAAGGAAGAGTAGAATGAGAGAGAGACGTAGAAAGAAAAGGAAGGAGGGAGGAGATGTAGAGGGGAAGCGACACAGGGGTGAAGGATGGAGAGAAGGGAGGGAGAAAAAAAACAAAAGGAGAGGGAGGGATAAGGATGGTGTGTGTGTTTGTGTGTGTGTGGGGGATTTAGAGAGGGAGGGGAGTGATGTACATAAATAAGATCCTATATGAACAAGATAATCTATAGAGCATGTCCAGCATGCAATATACGATTTCTATATTTACCCACTGATCTCAGCACCTGCTGTCTATTTATTTGCCAACTGTGAAAGCTTGTAAATTAAACTGCTATTGTATTAAAAAAAAAAAAAAAAAAAAAAAAAAAAAAAAAAAAAAAGTGGTAAATATATTGAGCAGCACGATCATGTGTTGAAATTGCAGCGAGTTGTGGACTATAATTTCTTAATAAGTCACCTCATTATTCTGCAATAGCATTGTAAGCAAAGGATATACAGTGGCAGTGGTGGGGGAAGGAAGAGGGATCTCCTCTCAGGATTTAGGTGAAATCTGAGCAGGAGGTAGCTGTAAAATGTAATGTAATTTCTAAAGTGCTGGGTGCCTTTAATGAGTGTGATTTTTGCACTAGGCAGCATTTTCACCTGGATGTACCTCTTTCCTAAAATGCTCTTGTCTTACACAGGCTAGATAACAAGTAGGGGGGCTGGATCAGGGAGGGGGGACAGGGATGAGAGTGGAAAAAAAAAATCTAAACGTGACATCAGCTTGCGTTTTCTTACACCAAACCTGCAGCCCCTCCTCCCAGCACTAATCCATCCCCAGCCTTCCTCTGATCAGTTAGTTGCATGTCAATTGCACAGCTTGGTAGGGATCTGGAGACTGGCAGCCAGCAGCAGCAGCAGGGATACGCTCTTAAAATAACCTCTCTCTTCCGGAGGAGGACCAGCATTTCGTAAAAAAGGATTCTGGCCAAAGCTCAGCACCAGAGAGAGAGAAAAAATTCTACTTATCTCACACTCACTGGTTTTCTCACATTTTTCTTCCTTATCCTGCAAGAATTTATTTTGTGTGAGTTACATCGAGGCAGAGCTTGATCCGCAGGCAAAGATGTCTCGGAGGCGACTTGCCGTGCTGGAGGATTGGGAGGCTCCAATAATGCCTGCATGCTCTCTGAAGTCAAAGTCAACTTCCCCGGCTGCTACAGAATGAAGGTTTGTTGGCGAAGGAGACCGGAGCAGAGATGTCTGTGCCTTTACTCAAGATTGGGGTTGTCCTGAGCACCATGGCGATGATTACCAACTGGATGTCGCAGACCCTACCATCGTTGGTCGGCTTAAACACCACCAAACTAACAGCGGCCAATCCAGGAACCTTGGACAGAAGCATTGGGGTGAGTTAGGAGAGAATGAAATGCCCGGCACCAGTGGGCTTTTTATGCCAGAATGTTTGGGGGAGGGTGGGTATGTGAGATTATGTTAACCCATGAGTGAAAGATATCAGCACATTGGGCAGCCTCTAACACTTAGCAAGTTAAAATGAATGGTTAAACAGTAGATTAATCTGTTGTTACAAAACAATGAAAGGGAGGCTATATAGATAATATCTTTGTGGCAATTACTGGAGAAGTTGGCTCTCTCTTCCCAGTGTACTGGGATCAGGAATGCGGTCACTGCTTACCACCCTCTGTGGATGCAAGGCTGGCAGGATCCTTGGTAAATGGTTCTTCAGCCACAGGAAAGACATTAGAAGCCTTTCTACAGTCATCATCATAGCGGAGAGACAAGTGGCAACGGGAACAAGGGGAGAGATTCTGGGTTGAAGGCATCTGAAAATTAAAAATCCCAGTCTCTCCTCATTCATCCTTTTGGGCATCTTTGCGTATAGCACACTGCTTTGTCATATAGAAGGGTTTATTAAGTGTTTGAAATTCAAATATTAAAAAATTATTAAAATTATCAAATTATAAAAGAATTTGGATTTTTATAACCCTGTGTGTATCCCTGCGAGGAACAAAGAAATGGGAAAAAAATAGATCTGTTTGCTATGTATGTTGTTTCTAACTCACCCAGTTTTCCCTAGGATTTGGGTCATCTCTGAATTTTGATCATGTATAAATTCGCCCCCTAGATCTCCTCAGCATGTTTAATCTGCCAAATTTGGATCACATCCTGCAATGAAAATTATATATAGAATTCAAATTTCCCTCAGAATTGAGGTCATTGGTAGTATTCAGGTCATTCAAAGAGGAAATCTGTATTTCTAAATCTAGAATCAAGGTTATCATATGACTCAGAGAATCAAGGTCATGTCTAGAATGTCTGTCATTTTTAAAATCCTTGCTGGGAATCTTGATAACTGCTAGACGTTTTAGCTGTAGAATAGAGAATATCCTTGATGTAGGGATCACCTCTTGAACTGAGGTCATATCTAGAATTTAGAGCTGAATTTTCCCCTAAAATCCTTCTAATGTCCAGAATTGAAGTCATCCTCAGTGTTTGGGCCACTCCTATTTTGTGCAGTGGACATAAATCTGGCTTCCAGAATGTGCGTACTTCAATTATATGCATCTCTATGAACAATTATTGCAGTAGTTAAGGTCTCGTTCAGCATCACTTTGCCAGCATGTAAGCGGCACTCGCGAGCCACAAATCACACAACTCTCCACAAAGCTGGCAGGCCTTACAGATATCATACACTGATCACACTGGTATACCTATATCAGCAACGTGTCCTTCACAGCCATCTTCACCTAAGCCCAGCAGAAATCTCATCTCTGTTCAGAAATAACTGCAGCATCTCCACACTGTGCCCAAGTAACATCTTGAAAGTGTAAAAAGCACCTTAGTCTGTTCAATTTCCGATGCTCTTGCTGTTTTGATGCATGCCAGGACAGCCAACAATTTGGCTTCCAGCCAGTGAGATTAAGTAGCAGAGTTCTCTTTTTTCTGTGTCCTCTGTGTAATTACAATATGAGCAGACTATGTGGGTGAGTGCTGTGTAACAAGATCACAGCTTGACTTTGGAAGCAGTAAAACAAGAAGCCTTTATTCTGTGGTAGAAACTATAATGCAAAAACTCGCCATGTTTCTTTTTGTAAAATATGGGTACCAAGCTGATATTTTATTTTATTTATTACAGGTACTTATAAAGCGCAATTTACATATATATTGTACAATCACATCAGTCCCTGCCCTCAAGGAGCTTACAATCTAAGGTTCCTCACTCACATTTATAGATACACATGCTAGGGCCAATCTAGACTGGAGCCAATTAGCCTACAAGCATGTCTTTGGGGTATATTAAATCTTTTCATATATAAAAAAAAGGTATGAAATTTATTAATAGCCACATTCCCGCATTTGGCTATATACCCTTACTTGCCACATTTCCACATATAACCAACAGCCTTTAAAATAAATGTTTTGTTTTGCATTTAAGAAATTGAGTCATGATACGGCATTGTGCATTGAAAAGAGGAGATACTGACTTTGAAGCTGATCCTTGCAACACTCAGGAACTCTGAAGCAAGTCTGTCATGCTTAAATTTTTTACGTTGGCTGAAGAGTCTAACCCCACTCACCAGACAATTTCAGTGCCATAAATTCAATGTGGAAGTCTTTTCTTTCCTTGCCATCATGTTCTTCTATTTACATTTGCTTTATTCTTTACTTCCTTCTGTCTTCTGAGATGTACTTTACATTCCTGGGCTGTTCACATGTTTGGTAAGACATTTATGTCCTTTCCTCCTTTTATAGGTCTTGCCAACCAACCCAGAAGAAAGTTGGCAGGTGTATAGCTCTGCCCAGGACAGCGAGGGCCGATGTATATGTACAGTGGTGGCACCGCAGCAGACGATGTGCTCTCGGGATGCCAGGACAAAGCAGCTCAGGCAGCTTTTAGAAAAGGTGAGATGAACATAAAATGTGGCCTCTTTGCTTACTTGCTGGGGTGTTGAAGAAATACATGGAGGGGATTTTATTATGCTCATGTTTCAGATTAAGTAAACACCTAATAAAATCAACATATGGGTCTGTTATCTGTCAATTTATAGTGAGAAGGGGTCTGGTAACCTCAATATCTAAAGAAGGTTTATCTTCAGATGCAATATAAGTATGTAAGCCATAAATGTTTAATGTAACTTTTGCCAAAACCAAGAAGCATTTTCCTAGATTTTTGCAGATTCTGCTATCATTATGTAATGAAACTGTTTCAATGGGCTTTCTCTAGCTATCTTGGGAAATTGATCATCAGGAGCATTTGGTTGTCATAACTTCCTCCCCTGCCTTAACTACAGTGCAGCTTTTATTGAAATCATAGAGCTCAGTCACGTCAGGGACAAAATTAGTCCTTACAAAGATTGTGTTGCTAGATACTGCTGCACGTTATTTAACTGGAATTACAGTTGACCTTTAAATACAAGATCCAAATCTGACAGATATGGGTGCCCAACCCAGATGCACTAAGCCTATAGTGTGCATTTACAAAATGTGTATTGTAGATTTGTGTCAGCCTCAAAAGTCGGGGTTGGACTCATGATTTGCCCATTATACAGTAGGCTGTAAAGGCCTCTCTCCTATACTCTGTAGGCATTTGGAAAATAACTGCATAACAGCCCATGGCAATGTCATACATCTAGATTTCTGCTGGGTATGCAAGTTTACTTAGGTCACAGATTGGTGTCACCTGTAAATCTTTTATAGGTCAATAAGCAGACAAGCAGTCCTACTTAGTACAGAAATGGTATAGAGCTTCTTAAGGCTAGCCATTAATAACACAATATCATAACAATATGATATCCAACTGTGAAGAACTACAAAATCCAGCATGTACTGTCAGCTGGCTTCAAAATGTGATGGGGCTTGTAGCAGCACATTGGCTGGAGGCAAAGTCTGCCCAGGCCTTGTGTGGGATGTTCTGCCAAGGAATTTGATGAAGATAAGACACCCATTGAAGAACTACAAATCTATATGCCTCATACTGTATACTTTATTGGCTTTCCTATGGTTTTGAGGCTGAAGCTATACAAGTATAGTATTTAGCAATTCTTTAGCAAAGAAGATCAACATAAAGCCTAATTGAACCTCCAGTTTAAATTAGCTAAATATGTTCCATGTCCACCAAAACAAAAAATGTTTATTAGCTTTCATTGCATTTACTTTCTAAATCAGTCACATGATGTAGTAGAAAGGACTCACCTGCCAGCATGCTGCTAAGAAGGATCCTTGCTGTCTCTGTGAGGAAGCAGTGGTCTTATTTCAGAAGTCCTACAGAGTCAAACTGACTTAGAGTTCTGCCATTAAGCAAACTAGAGATCTCTGCTGATTGGAGAACTTTGGCTCTGACTCAGCATGTGGTGTTTAACCTCTGCAAAGAGATCACTGCTTTTCTTAAGAGAGCAACATGCTGTTTCTGCTTAGGCTGTGGCCGATTTGTAAAGAAAAACTATATAACTTAGCACATCTTTTGTTTTGACGCACCAGAGATGTAATTGGCTAATTTAAACTGTTCAGCTGGGCTTTAAAGCACATAAGCTGTGCAGTCACTTGCCCGACTAACGTTAAAATAAAAGCAACAAAATAAAATTGGCAGACAAAAACAAAAAAAAAAAATGCAACTACTACAAAATAATGGAGTAGTGACAAGAATTTTAGGGATGACAGTGTTATTTTAAAGCTAAATCTGGGGTAGTGGTGGATTAGACCATACCGTAATCAGAACAATGTGGCCTTCAGCTTTGAGCCTATGTCAGACATTTGTAATTTCAAGTTACTGGTCTAAATAGGACTTCATAAGGAGGAAAGTAAGGGCTTGACAAATATTACCCTGATGGTTGGGGGGGTTGCTGTATTGTTACACTGGGAACAGATCTATATTTAGTGCTTGACCAGACAAGCAAATAGCATATCATAAGAACATATAGTGCAAGTATTGTCTAGGTTTTATGTGGAGATGGAAAACTGCATGATAAACTCAATTTAAAAATGGAATATTAAACTTGGCTGCACTGTACATCCGTTTTTGTTTCATTCTAATTTCAGTGCAAAATATGTCCCAGTCAATAGAAGTTCTGGACAGGCGGACCCAAAGGGACCTGCAATATGTAGAGAGGATGGAAAATCAAATGAAAGGCTTGGAATCCAAATTTAAACAAGTGGAGGAGACTCATAGGCAACACCAGGCCAGGCAGTTCAAGGTGAGTACTGTTCCTCATAGGTGGGGCTAGGTGAACTGTGTTTACATGGCTCCTGTAGAACTATCCTAGATATTCTTTAGTACTAGTCCACAAAGGACATCTTAGTTATACAGAAACCTGTGCCACACAGATCGCCTACCTTCACTCCAATTACTGTACTTTTCAATGTGTATTATGATTTAGTAAATTGATTTGTAGTTGGTGATGCTTTGACAATGATTTAGAGCTGTGCTATTCTCTTAGATTCTACCAGAAACAGACAGTGACTAGAATAAACATCTAGTAAACGGACTATAGAATAGTAGAATAAAATGTAAAAGGTCATGTTAAACCAATAGATGCAATCAGCTAAATAACCAATAGGCAAACTGCAATTCAGGAGTAAATCAATAACATGAGCCTTGCTGCACTAAATAAAAACTACATAAAGGTCTCTCTGCCCCGTTCTTAACTTTTCAAATGAATGCCAGTGTTTTTCCCCTCAAAAACTGTAACAGATCATGAACCGTAAGAGCACTTGTTTTGTCGCAGAAACATATTGTAAAGCAGGTGATTAGGAAAGCAAATGTGGCCTTTTAGCCAAAATATGAGGGTTTAGAGGCTTTTGAAAATGTTGTGTGATGTTCCGCCTCTTCTACCGATTAAACCCTGCCTACTCATTACATAAACTGTGCTGCTTTTCCTTTGCATAAGTTACTGTTAAGAATTGAATGTGTAAGGAATTTATTACTTTTGGTGATGTTCTGAGATGCAGAATGCACCAATACAAACAGTACACCTAAAAGGTAATAAGGAACACCATGGACCATATTTCACAAAAAACACTAAAACCTTTACAAGTAGAAGACAGGATAGAATGTTAAGTAGATTGTATAGAGTTTATCTCCATTGCCTTGCTCCTTCACAACATTTGTTAGCCCTGGTGTGCTTCAAAAGACTTCTCCCATCAGTGGTCACCTGAAACTGCCTTAATAACAGTGTCCTTACTGCTGCAAGACAGCTCGCTCACATGGCAGACAACAGAGACAACAAATAAGGACTCGGTTATATTTGCTGGAAAACTGTCCCTTGTACATAGATATTATCCTCAAGAAATACTGCTTACCCTTTTCAAGAGCAAACAAATCTGAAAGACAGAATGCTGATGTAGGAGAGACAAAAAACTGTTAAAGGGTCTGGTCACCCTACAGTGATATGATTATGTAGATGGGGGTTAATAGGTTGAGCCCTTCACTTGATTGATGTATCCCTGGGCTTTTTTTTTTTTTAGTTCTTGGCTGTGTTCCCACTCAAATTGGGGTGTTCCTACTCCTGCCATTGCAGTAACCAGCACCAGGCATGGAGCCACCTCACTAAAGCCAAAATAAGTCTGCAGACCAGGAAACTTAACTTAACTTACAGACATCTCCCCATTGGTCTCCCTGAAAGATAAGAAACCACTATGTGAATAACTTCCCAGCAGCCACCGACACCTTATAGGGTTGATGGACCCAATAAAAAAGGTATCCTGTTGCATTGATAAGTTTAGCAGACTCTTTCAAATCAAATTGGCTTCTTCAGAGAAAAGTGAATGGGAGGTAAGCTTATCCCAACAGCTTCCTGGCAGTTCCTGTCACTTAATGAGATTGGAGAGGCTGATTTTTCCAGCAGAAATGCAGCGTGGCAATGCATGACATGTAATTAGTGACAAATAGATGTTAGCATGCCTTGCGTGATTTAACAAACAACCTTTCCTGGTGCCATCTCCCTCTGCTAATAGGTCAGAGAGAATCAAGCTTTTGCAGCTACAACCGAGAATAATTTACAGGATTGAAAGGCCAGGAACGTCAATCCAGGTCACACAGACTATCCCCCAGATTTTTCCTTTTTTAATATTACTACAAATTTTCTAAAGAATAAAGTAAAGCACAATAGACATGGGCATGTATCACTGCTTCCACCGCTCACCGTATTCTAAGATGAGCAGGGACACTTAGATAGGAGACCAACCCCTGACACACTATCCTTCTACATCACTGGGAGGAAACAAATAGATGAAAATCTCATTGAACATTTACAGCATTTATATAAAAAAGTTATAGAACAAAAGAAAAAAAAACCCCACAAATCACTAAAGTAGTTGCATTGCACATGGAAACCAAATTCCTTTATGTTTCTGGAATAAGTTGGGTGAAGAACAGACCCCATAAATGACGAGATCTTCACTCAATATTTTTTTAAAATCAATACCATATTTACATTTCTGATAAAGAAGAAGATTCACGGAGGAAAGAGGGGTAGAGGGCAATGGTTAGCTGGATGCTAACTTAGTTGAATATAAGTGTAGAGCAGGGGCGGACTGACAACTCATGGGGCTCCCGGGCAATAGGGGATCATGGGGCCCCCGTATACTCGCCCACACTCACACCACACCCAAAAAAGCCTATGAAAAAGGTACCAGGGACATCTCATGGGGCCCCCTACTGATCCCGGGTCCTTGGGCCGTGCCCGTGTACCCGAATGGTCAGTCCGCCCCTGGTGTAGAGTTTACAGTGTCTTGACAGCTTCAAATTGCATACGAGACATAAGACTTTTAGGATAATGTAGAAGCGCAATGTGTACACCATTATAAAAATATAAAGACTGCTGTATATACAAAAAATATGTATGAGTTAATAAAGTCTATACATAGTTTTTTTTTTCTACCAAATAGACCTAGAACAAGTGATAGCACTTCATGCTTAATTAGCTTCACCCTTCTGTTCCCCTAATACAAACTTATTTCAAGGTGCTGTAAAACAGTAAGACCACCCTGCTGTTTTCTTAAGTAGATCTGTCACCCATCTACAAATGGAGGGAGCTAAAACATTTAGTACATAAAAGATACAGTGAAAAAAAAAAAAAAAAAAAAAACTTATTTTCTGCTAACCTGCGTAGTAATATCAGCAGTGAGCTCAGTGCCTAATATAATAAAGTTTCACTTAATAAAGTTTCACTTAGCACAACTAACATGGTTAGATCCAGAATCCAAAAAAACAAAAACAAAAAAAAAAAAAAAAAACCCACAAAAAACCAACCCTTTAAAATGTGTACATGTAAATAAAATAAGTTGCAGGGTCCCCTTTAAAAAAAAAAAGGGGAAAAATACATTTTTGACACTTTCTTTCTATAAAGGAGACATTTTATGACTGGCTTTTTGACACCAAGAATTACTTAAGCAAACTTACTGCAGGGGATCTTACTATAACTTTGTATAATTTACGACAGTTCTGATTCAGGAAAGTAAGGATAGATTTAAATCTGCCTAAAATCCACTGCTCTACTGAAAAGCGATCCATGTTCAGTTTGCTTTTCAGAGGTGATTGGCAGGCAGTGAGGAGGCGATATGACACGTTCTGTTTTAACCCAATTTTTGCTGACAAACGAGGTCACAACTGCATGGCTTTGGATGCAGTTGTGGGGCGTTGTGGCACTTCCCTGTACATGTCAATGGGTCACGTTCACCGTAGATCGCAACATGTGGGGTAGATTTTGCCATGGGTGCAAAGCATCGCAATTGAAGACACCCCCATCTGCTGCCTTTTGCTGCTAAGGAGGAGGTTGGGGGGCACTAAAAAAAAAAAAAAAAAACACCACTCAACCACTCATTTGTACCGCCTCCCGACTGCACGCCTAAATGAAGCCCTATAGATGCTTTAAACAAACATTAAAGCAAACCCCCCCTTCCCCAGCAAGTGCCTCCTTCTCTAGCATGGTTTAAAAAAACACTATAGAGAAGAATGGCAATTAAGCTCCTTCAGTATAGAAGTAAAAGATGAAATGTCAAGTCATATAGTGCTCCTGTGTGTCGGTACATAAACATCATGCACAAGGATTACACCCAGTATGCCATGCAGCACTCAGAACGTCAGTACAGCCACAATGCCACATAAGACACCCTCATAACATTGGATAAATGTTTAAGAAAGGGATATAGTTACTTCATGCAATAATAGTACTTAAAAATAAGTTTGGTTTTTTTTTAGCACAATCATATTCTATAGCATTTTACACTTTGTACATCAAAACAAAACTGTAAAGAACATTACAGTTAACATAGGGTCCTGGTCACTAAGGCTTACAGCCCAATAGGAAACATGAGGTATGGGGGGGGGTCCTTGTAAGATAATTGCGATAAAAGGGGGTAATTTGTTGAACTAATCGTTTTAGAGATTCTTCATTAAAAGTAAGCCATTTTGTAATAACCTTTAGAGCTTCTAAAATGACAACCCCACAGAGTGTCTGTGCAGAGGAGAAGGACATTTTAAGTGCCCCAGTATTGCCCTATGCATTATTAATGGGTCTAGGCTTATCTGGCCCCATCACTATAGATATTCCCTTGTGTTGGGTTATGTCAGGAGCTGGGAGCAGCTGCTCTAAGTGTCTCATTGTACATTACAGAAAACTCCAGAAAGTTCCACCAGCCAAGGTCAACCATGAGACTGTCATGGAGGACGTCTTTGGCTCCGCTGTCACTTGCTCCTGTTTAATTGCTCCCGCTGGGAGAAAGGCGGTATTCGAAGGAAAAATTCTAGCCTTATCAGGGGCATAGCCCATCAGCTGCAGCACGGAGCTGTCAATTCTACCCTCTGCTCGCCAATAACAGCGGATTTCAGGTCTGAACTGGGTCACCAGGCTTACACTAAAATAGAACATATCTTATAATTACAGTCTTTTATTATTTTACAAAAAGCATTCAGATTACAAACTGACTCCTGATGTTGCTGTAGCCAGTATATTATGTTAATAGGTAGGCACAGCACGATAAGGGTTTCTTTTACTCCTAGAGAAAGAAACAGACATCTATTTTGCTGAGTGCCTGAATTTGTTGCAAACTGCAAATAATATATGGGGAAAAAAATACATACATACTGTACATCCATCTATATTTACATACAATTCACACTCATACAGTGTATACATACACAATTATAATAGTAAAATCGGTACTTGTCTGTTAATTCACTGGATCTCTCTCTCTC